GTGGACGACTTCCCCGGGCCAGGTTCCAGCTCGCTAAGCAGAAAGGCCCCAGCCCTGCCCCACCTGTTCACCTGATATTTGAAATTCTTCATGGGGGAAAACCCTTTCATTTTTCAATAAGAAGAGAGGATCAAAGGGCAGGGCCAGGTGGGAGAGATAATACAACGACTTAGATTTTTACTATCGTGTCAATAGCAGATGCCAGATCCTGCCCGGAGAGTGAGTTTGGGAGCCAAAAGACCAAGAAAGAATGTGAGGTGACTTGAAGTCTGAGGTGGGCAAAAAGGCACGGAGCGCACCAAGCGCAACAATCCTGTGGTTCGGCGGGCATGGTACAAATCCATGAGTGCGTAAAGCAATCAAGCCTCTCCTTAATGGGACTGTGGCATGAACCTCAGCAGACTGGAATTCGGTCCAGCCTCCCCTGTCTTCCCCCGGACCCTACGCAAGGAGACCACACCAGGACCCGTTCACCAAGATGTCAGGGGAAACGTGAAGAGCTACTCTCTTCTGAACGTGGCATGGGTACCCATGAATGAGTGCCACTTCCCCCTAGGACATCACTTCCTTTCACAGGAGCCTTGAGCCAAGGCCATGCGTGGTAGCCCAAAGGGGTGGTTTTCATGGTGGGAGCTCAGGGCACCGCAGATCAGTGGGACAGATCCTGGGGTCCCAGCTCCCGCTGGCTCCCTTCCTAACGGCCTTCATTTCCCCCACCCTGGTGTGAAGTGGGGCATGCGGGCACCCAGCAACCCGTCCTGGTAGGCACATCTGAATTGCTACCAGCCCTGCTCACTCTGCTGCTTCCGCCGCGCTTTATCACAGATGGCAGGGCGCAGGTAGACCTTGCGGTCCTCCTGGGCAGAGCAGCTTCCGCTGCACACCACCACACCCAGGCAGGACTTCTTGAGGATGCGCGAGTTGTGGTTGTTGGTGTTGCGCATGGCCCAGCTGCTCAGGTGCCTCTGCGCGCTCCTGTCCTCTGAGCTGTAGATGTGCTTCGAAGAGGAGTCTGGCCACTCGCGGAACCAGTCTGTTTTCTTCACGACCTGCAAGAAACCCAAGGAATGTGGTGACTATGATGTGAAGTAGGAAGCACAGCCAGCCATCACGGGGAAGTCAGCAGACAGGAAGGATGGTTTGATCCTCTTGAGACGTTTGGAAAAGACGGGTCCCAACCCTGTGTACACAGCAAAACATGGCCTGGATCGACACCATCCTCCGGAACAGTAGTAGCACGCCCACCTATTATGATCCCTCGGGTTTTCGCTGGCTGGTTTTTAGAGGTAGACTGCCCGCCCTGTCTTCCTAGCCTGTCTGGCTGTGGCCTGGCTGCTCTGTTCAGCATCTTGGCAGCATGCAAGCCTCCACGGAGAGACAGGTGGTAGCTGCACGTGAGGTGCACTGGCCAGGACTCAAACTGGGTCTCCTGTATGAAAGGGGGCGGTCGTACCGCTGAACTGCCGCTGCTACCCTGGGAAAAGACGTGCTGTTGCCCTCGGTGCTGATGAGTCAATTCTGACTCACGGTGTTGTTAGGTACCATCGAGCTGGTGACGGCCCATAGCAACCCTGCTGTGGTAGTCTGGGTACTTTAGAGAAACAAATCCACAGAAACTCATATGTATAAGAGAGTTTTATATAAAGGGTGAGTACACATCCAGAAAACATCCCAACCCAGTGCTGTCCAAGCCCACAAGTCCAACATTAGCCCATTAACCCATATGTCTGACACCAGTCTACAAAGTCCTCCTCCATCTCACAAAATAGACACAATGATGCCGACTGCAGGAGAAAAGCCGAGTCAGT